GTCGCTGGGAAGGAAGCCAGGAGCCCAGTGCTGCCAACCCCAAAAGTGCCAGTCATGCGTCGCGCCCACAAGATCCCAAGTTTGGCTTTAAAATCAGGAGAAGAAAATATAAAGCGAGAGTCTGACTGCGTCTCCCCTGCGGGCCCCTGGGGGGCGCCCCCACCGTGCTGTCACGCCTCCCCCCCACAACCCAGCCTGGAAACTCACCTTCTTAGAAAAGCCAAAAATTCTCCTCGCTTGCCTCCGGCCTCGGGGGCTTCCCGAAGAACCCGCAGCCCCCCCTTGGCTGCAGCCCCGCCGGCTCCCCCAGGCCCTCCCCGCCACAGGGGCAACGGTTCCCAGCTAGGACCGGGCCCAGCGCCCCCTCATCCCTTAGTGCAGCACGGGTCCGTCACAGCAGCAAGGGCTGGGGGCTGAATTTTGGGTGCCTGGCCCACAAGGTAGGACCTAGATCGGTGACTGGCCTCGTACCCAGCGTGGCCGCATGTTTTCATGGCTTCTCTTAGCAGCCCAGCTGTGAGAGCGGGGAGAGGGACTCCAGGGCTGGGGCAGTCTTAGGCTGCAGGCCAGGTCTCAGAAGTGACGTCATCTCCCTCAGAGGCGGCCATCTGCCTGCAGCCGCAGGTGGGCAAGCCAGCTCCCCGGGCCCTGTCTGCCTCTCCGCCCCTTTGCGATGGGGGCTGCAGGGCAAGTGAGGTAGCCTGGCCCATTCCTCACGTGTCCCTCCAACCTGTCCTTAAAAGCCTGCAACGATGGGATTGCACCGCCTCTCCCGGAAGCCTGGGCCAGGGCTTAACGCCCCTTAGCGAAATGTTTCCCAACGCCTAACCTAAGTCTCCCTGGCTACAGATGCAGCCTATCGCTGCTTGTCCTACCTCCAGGGGCCACGAGAACAATTTGACGCCAGCCTCTTTATAGCAGCCCTTGGCATCTTTTAAGACTTATCCGATTCCTGCCCCTTTTGTCGTCTTCTCTCAAGACCCAACTGCCTCAGTTTCCCCGTTCCTCACAGGGCCGTGCTTTTAACCTGGTAGATGCTCTCCTCTACACTCTCCGGCTGTGTCGACATTGGCACCCTTTTCCGGAAAAGGGTGCCAATGTAGACACAGCCTCCAATTCTCCATGGCATCGTTCTCCTCCCCACGGGTCAGCACGGCAGGAGAGTTACCTTCCCCTCTCTCATACGACACTCCTGTTAACGTCCCACAAGTACATTAGTATTTGTAGCAACTGAATCACCGTTGGCTCAGACTCGCCTTGGGATCCGTTTTAACCCCCCCCCCTTTCAGCAGTGCTACCCGCGTCCTCGTTTCACAGTTGTTCATTGGATTCTCGCTGAAGCACTTTGCACTTATCTGTATTGAATTTCAGCGGCTTGATTTCAAACCGGCTCTCCAGTTTGTCTAGGCTGTTTGGAATTCTAACCTGGTCCTCCCGAGCGCAGCCCCTCCTGCCTGCGGCTTTCTCTCGCCACGCCCTTAGCCAAGTCACTAAGGGCAATGTTGGCTAGTAACAGGCCCAGGCCTGACCCCTCCAGCCCCGACTGGAATCCTCCTGCCAGGGTCGCGGCGAGCCATTGCTGGCTCCGCTCTGAGCACGCGCCTCCCCGCCAGCGATGCCACCAACAGGCAGGGGGTTTCCTGCCGGAGTCCCCTCCTCGTACTCTGCACGAGAAGCGCTGCCATCGACGTCAGCGGGGCCAGGTTTCCACCCCAGCGTGTCTTGAAGACAAAATCTCAGGCTTTGCCTGCCTGATAAAGCAGAGCCCCAGCAGCGCTTTAAACTGGCCTCGTACCCATGGTGGGAGAGCTCGCCTAGTGCCCCACGTACGCCCGCTCCGCGTGGGGAGCCACGCTGGCGCTTGATGGTGCTGTAACTCGCTGCGTTTGGAGGTGGGGGGTTTCACACCCGAGCCAGAAAGGTACCGCACCGTAGAGAGCCACTGTAGACTTGGCCTCAGACTACAAGTCCCCTCTTACGCCTTTATCCTGCAAGGTCTTGGAACAAATCAGGCAGTAGCACCACCTTCTAATTTCATCTAGAGCAGTGTTTCTCCACCAGTGGACACATCAACAACTGAAATATGGAGAAAATTTTTTTGTTTTACCGCGCTTTATTATTTTTGTCCTTTTTACACCCAAAATGTCAGCGCCTGCCTGGCTACCATGAGTTGTTTAAAAAAATGTGTTGCAATGGTAGAAAAAAAATTCTCTCTAAAAACAGTAGGTACTGGGGGTGCTTTTTGAAACAGGGGTACTTTATAAAAAAAGTTGAGAAACACTGATCTAGACCCCAGTCCTCGCTGGTTCAGGAGAACAGCCGGGGGATGGTGCAACAAAGCTCACTCCGGATCAAAACACATCACATCTTTACATCCCCCCCCCCCCCACGGGACCCCCCCCCCCCCCCCGGGGAGGAGGATACGAGGTCAGCTTGGCAGGGCTTGTTCTTGCCAGAGCTGTGTTGGCCGTGACTTAAGCCCTTGGAGGACCAGACGGTGTCCCAAAGGGATCATTTAGCAGGGCCCAGGCTCTCCCTGGTATCTGCGCCAGGCTGACTGCTCTGTAATTCCCTAGAACCTCTTTAACGACCGGTGTCATTTGCCCTTAGAACCCCAGGGCGGGCAGAGCCCCCAGCAGGGCCAGCTCAACTCCATCAGCCCAGCCACCGTGACTTAAGCCCTTGGAGGACCAGACGGTGTCCCAAAGGGATCATTTAGCAGGGCCCAGGCTCTCCCTGGTATCTGCGCCAGGCTGACTGCTCTGTAATTCCCTAGAACCTCTTTAACGACCGGTGTCATTTGCCCTTAGAACCCCAGGGCGGGCAGAGCCCCCAGCAGGGCCAGCTCAACTCCATCAGCCCAGCCAGGCCTGTGTCTGCCCTTCACAGGTCCTCAGAGAATAGCCAACGGCTCGGAGAGCTTCAGCCAGCTCCTGAAGCGTGGGGAAGGGCGCCGGATTTCCTCAGGCTCGGTTGCCTTGAATACATCTTGACTAAACTCTCCTTTCCCTCTTCTGGCTCGCGCTCCTCACCTGCACAGCCTAGGAAGGGGGGTAAACGTGACAAGCAGCAGCCATGTGCGGAATAAAGTTTTTGTGCACCGAGGCGTGTACAGCTGTGCACCACCCGTAGACAGATGCTGCCGGTGACGGGCACTCTGCCTACCAGCTGGCCAGCATTTGAATCTCTCCTGGGCGGCCACCCAAGCGCCCAGCTTCCAGGGAACAGCAGTCTGCAGAAGCACGATCGTGCTAGGCCACGTTAGCTGGGCAAGAGACCAGAACGGGGTGGGTTTGTGCGCTGCCCTCGGGCAGGCAAGGCAGGTAGCCAGGCAGCGCGCACCCAGGGCAAGCCAAGTGCTGGGCCTGAGCCCACATTGCAAACACTGTGTGCTGTCAATGGGTAGGTCCCAGATCCACAAAGGGAGCCAGGCCGATAGTTGAGCTGAGGCCGGGCCCTGCAAGCAAACGGGAACCCGTCGCTCAGGGCTCGGGTGGGGCTCTTAGGGTGTATCTGGGCTCTGCCAGGACTTGCTACCTGCGATCCTGGTTGCCCTCCAGCCCCGGCCCAGCTAACGCTGTTCTCAGAGCACTCGCAGACTCGCAAGCCAGCAGTTCACCGGGCTCATTACATGGACCTGGCTCCTGGCGTCAGGCCCCTGGATTTCTACAGGCCTCTCCCCACACCCTGGGGCCACAGAAGCTGGGAGAACTCTCAGGCAAGGGTGTCCGGCAGAAGGAACCTCTGAACAGGTAAATGTGCCAAACTTCCTGTCGCCTACCCATGGCTCCCTACGTCCCCATCAGCTCCCTTGTCCCCATCCAAACCAGTCCTCCGCCCCGGCACTTTCACCACCCCCCGGGGGCAGAGACCCAGAGTCCACTGGGGACCCTGCCACTGCTCACTGCCCCAAGGCTGCGGCGCCAGGCCCAGCCCCGAGACAAAGGCTTTTTGGTTGAATGATTTGTAATGGTTACGCGTGTCCCATAACCCTGCAAGGGGGGGTGGGAATGTTACATACACTTCAAAAACCCAGCTTCTCTGGGCGTCCCCCCAAGGACCCCGTGACAGGACAGCAACGGCAGTAGCTGCGGGAGCGAGCGTGGGAAAGCACCCAACACGTGGCCAGGCCCATCTGCCTTCCAGGCAGGCTGCGGGCAGAGTGGGATGTTCGAGCACCCAGTGGCTCGGGGCAGGGGAGGGAGGTGCGGACGCTCGGGGCTCTTGGCCCAGGCAGCTCATGCAGCTATTTTTGAAAGTTTAAGTCTGGCTCCGATTCACAGGAGAGGAGGAAGTTTATGACAGCTCCTCACCCACACACACTCCCATTCCCCTGCCAGCAATGGGAGCTGGCACCAAAATGAAGGAGGAGCCTTAGTGAGCCAACAGAGCTTGGTGGTCAGATCTTGGCTAGAAATTGGTAGAGCCCCACTGAAGTCAACAAATGCGGATTTATTTCCAGCAGCAAAGGAGCTGGACCTACTTTGACCTCATACTACTCAGCTGCCATTCGTTTGATCCTGGGGTTCTCTCCAGCCCTCAGCCTCGCCCCCTCCCAGTTCCTGGCCTGTCGCTCTCCTCCCTTAGCCCTTCCCGCCCCACCTGCTTAAGTTGCATGGAGAGGGAGTTCACAGCTTCTGGAGCAAAGGGGGCCAGCTGGCTGCGCACTCTGGTAACAAGACTATGGGACTAGTTGATCCCCATTTCAAAAGATTTTCTTCACAGCCGCTTATGGCAAGTGGAAGCCAAAGCTCCTCTTGATTCCCATTTCAAAAGATTTTCTTCACAGCTGTTTATGGCAAGTGGAAGCCAAAGCTCCTCAAAGGCTGAACGAGCAGCCAGGTTGCCAGATGCAGGCTGGGTTGGTGGCACATCTAGAATAGAAGATGCCATGGAGTCCCAGGCAGCAGCCGTGGGACTAGAGACCGCCCGCGGAGGCGGAGCTGCGCTTACGCTGGGCGACCTCATGCATCACTCACAGATTTTACACTAGACAGAGATTCTAAAAAACAAAGTACAAACTTTATTTTGTTTCTTTACAAAGGCACAAGCCTCTTTTTTTTCGCTTTCTTAACAAAATATAATAGCTTCTCGAACACAAAGACCTGAAAATCGTAAAAAAAAAAAAATACAAAAAATGAAAGAAAAAAAAAACAGAAACAGTTGTGGCTGGGGAGAAACCTACCAAATACCCACAAAGGCTCTACACAACACTGGCCTAAACCTACAGCCAAACGGGAAGGGGGCAGGGGAGGGAGAGAAAGGAAACCAAAACAACAGAAAAAAGGAACAGAAGCGACAATCACAGAACAGAACAGCTCTTCTGACTGGGCAGACCCCACAAATGGATTAAGTGCTTTAGGAGGAAACAAAGGAAAAATAAAGAACATGAAGTTGATCTCTTGTAGGGCAGTTCCTGCCATTGGGGCTGGAAATGAAGTGGGTTTGCAGGGCTGGGGGGTTAATCTAAAGCAACACAATCAATCCGAAATCTAGTCAATTTGAGTTCAGAGTCATTTCGAGTCCTACACCTGCCCCCCCAACAGTTCCAGATTGAGTCATTTCGAGTACTATACCTGCCCCCCCAACAGTTCCAGCAGCCTTACAGTCCTATGGGCCTGGGGTGAAGTGTTCTCTCGCCCCGTTGCCATGTGCGGGGGCCCTTTCCAGCAGGGGAAGCGCCCAGTGACGCAGGAGAGTACGACCACTGAACCCCCAGAGCGTCGCCAACGCGCCCAGCGACACCACATTCCTCTCTGGGCGCCTCGTTCTGAGCCGGGCGACTGGATTTTTTTTTTCCTGTTTTAAAAATAGAGAAACTACCAACAAACAAGCAACAAGAACTCAGGCCGGCCCGTGAGCCCACACCCCCGCCACGCCAGCGCTGGATGGAGCCGGGGCTGGTCTTGCAAGCTCACGGGAAGGTGGGTTGTAGTTTAACAAAGCCACAGGCGATTTGGTTCCAGGTCCCAGTTACCCGAACCCCAAACAGTCCCTCCGAGTTCAGACCCTGGGTTCCAGTTTTGGCCCATCTCTAGTTAAAAACACCCCCTCCCTCCCCAGCGCTGGA